TTTGTGACTGAGTAGTCACTGTTTGCCTTGAGGAGGCATTTACAGCTTCACCGGGCTTGAGGTGGCCGAGCGCAGATGGCGCTTAGCCTGAACCTCGAATCATATAACTTTGTATGCGTGTTTTAATAACCCATGGTTATGTAAATTTGTTTTGTGGTTCTATTTTATATACATTTAGTTATATACATTGTTTTATCTTACTATGATGTAAGTTGTAAACAAAACTATAAAGTAAGATATATAACAGACGAATTTTTGTGAGGCTAGCGGATTTTTTGCAAGGTTCAATGACCCCTAGATTAAGACTGGTAGAGTTTATTTATGTAGACATCATAAAGTTCTTTGTGATAGAAAGTTTGTTGGGTTATCGTAGATAAATGATGTGAAAATATTATTTGTGGTAATGTCGCTATGAATGGAATGTGATGTTACTTTTTTAGTACAAGTTGAAAAACAGATCAAGCAATTGAAATATGCCAAAATTGCGAAGTGACCTATAGACATCTGCATTTGCAAATGCCTATTACCTTTAATACATCGAGGAGTGGACAGATACAGGATACTTCCCCTACCTATGCTTCCTCACTCGGCCAAAGTCACTTTCCCTTCCCATCTTTTCCTTAAGAAAAAGATGGAATGGGGAAGAGGACTAAAATTAGATCGGCAGCCCCACTCATCAGACGAAACGTGGAATTATTTCCACTTGACCTCTGTCTTCTCGTTGGTATAAAATTAGATATTTGAAATGAGATATAATTACCTTAGAAGGATGATCTTGAAGACAGGTCCAACTAATCCTTTGATGATGGCGGATGCGTTGAGATGACATCTGCCGTGTAGTACTATGCCGTTCACCTGTAAATTAAACATATCATATAGTATATAGAAGGGGCAAAAGGTTAACAGTGGTAGAGTCTGCAGTGTTAGCGGTTACAAATCCCTTAGGCTAAGAACTTACGAAGCGATTTGGTGAAATTGCGATTTTTTTTAAACTCAAGAGGCCGGTTATGTCAACAGTTACGCAGCCGTCGCAGTTGCGATCGCCTGCAAACGCATCGGAGGCGGGTGAAACTCACTCCGCGTATTCTTAGCCTTACGAAGATAGCAATAAGACGATCTCACGTAGGTTAGTGCCGGAGGAAAATTACTAACAAAAAACATATAACGAGAAAATAATAAGGGATTTTGCGTTCTCTAAAAAGTCCAGTACCCATATAACATATAAGAACACGAATCGAACGACATATTTCAAAATAGAGCAAAGAAGAATACTAGAAATAAAACAAGGTTTTTTTAGGGTAATTGGTCTCTAGAAGTGATCAAATGCAGTAACAGGATAAATTGTGAACAGAGAGTTATGTTTCAATCAGAATGGACGTTAAACAAGAATAGTCTGGCTTTGGTTGCAAGATTTTGTGCGGTACGATGAGATATAGGGCATTGTATAAGCTACGCTAATATTTTAATACTAATATTTGCCTAAAGCCTTGTTATTTTTGTACTAAATTATTTATTATACTAAAGGAGAGGCAGTTGGGCAGTTGTTATATAAGGAAGTTTTTTTCAATGGAAACACAGAACTATTTAACTAAGTGTAATACACGGAAACTACTAAAAATAATGCTAGGTATAATAAGAACGTATCCGTGATAACAGCACATCTGATAAATATGTTTATGCTTTCTAAAAACTTCCACTTTCCGCTCCGCTCATAAATTGACCACTATCTAATTCAATTGGCGTGTATCCAAAACGCGTGTAGATACGAGACGGCTAGAGAGATCAGCTGCTAATCTATTCAAATGCACAAATAATTGACCGTCTGTGTATTACTACCATGTATACATTTTGTACATAAAATACAGTACTACTACTTGTGTGTATACATATTATATACACTCTAGTAGAGTATACAATTAATAGATTTACATTTTAACAGTGGTAGAGCATCATCAGTTGCAAGAATGGGCAGGCGTCAAGTGGAATTGATTCCGCTTTTTATCTGGTGAGTGTGCGTTCCTCAGGTCTTTAGTCCTCTCTCTCCTCCGACCTTTTTTATAAGGATGGTATGGAGAAATGGTTTTGATGGAGGAAGGGATGCATAGTAAGGGAAAATATTCTCTTTCTATGCGTCTCTTTAGCCATCGATTTAAGGGCTGTAATGCATCTGCAATTGAGGATGTTTATGAGCAACCGTCGCTTCGCCATTTCGGGGAATTCATGTGGCTGCTTGCTCGTTTGATGAATCGTAACCTTGTTTACATTAAGTGTCGGAACGTAGCTCTTAGTGATATTAGCATGGGAAACAATAGGCTTACATTATTGTACAATTTACACCCCTCTTGGTAAGACTATGTTCAATATAGAGCAGTCTTTCCCAAAGTGGGAGATAACGCTCCCTCGTGGGCACTGCAGATTTCAAGTTGCGGGTTATAGTAAAAGTTTCGTTTAGAATTCTCCGTTAATATTCATATATAGGTCACAACAATTAATTAATTTAATTTGAAGTTTAGTGTTTTTTAAATATGTGAAAATATGGGGGCGCTAAAAAAATATTTATTCTCAAAGTGGGCAGTAGACAAAATAAGTTTGGGTACCACTGATATAGACTATCCATGTTTAATTTGTAAATCGTAATCCAAATTTTATTTTTTTTCATTATGATTATTTTTGTCTACTTTTGTTTTTATTGTACTTAGGAATAATCCAGCGATCTCCATTTTATTATTTTAATTGGAAAATGTATTCGCATTTTGTCGTATTTTGCATTGTATACATTTCAATTTTATACTTTTTTATACTTTGTATTCTTTGCATCTTTATGTATTGTATCTATTCTTTTTTAGTATTATGTATTTTGCATTGTGTAAATAGATTTTTTAAATATCTGTTTGTTAACCTGTCTTAAAATCTAAAAATAAAATATTCCCTATTAGTAGGTTCTTATGGTACAAAAATAACTAATTATTTTCAACCTTCAGAGGATTAAACCTACGTACAAGTTCAACGCGAGTGATTTATTCGTCTCAAGTCTTTATTATAGAATATTTATGGCAGACAAGATATATCATTAAAATTGCCTTCGAAAATGATATTATATTTTTATGAACTGAAAATATTTGCTTTACGTTTCTCAATCTTTCACTATTAAATGACAGGATCTAACAAGTGCACATTCCCCTCTGTTACATAATATCGAACAATATTTTTATAATACTCTTGTTTGTTATTGCTAAGTTTGTAATATTTTGATAATGACGTAAATGTCGGCATGTATGTACTTGAGAGATTGACATTTTTACCTCACGTCTCACGTAAAGTGGCAGAATTTATTTAGTACAATGTAGACTTTTTGCATAGTCCGTACCTCTTTAGTCAAAGTATAACATTGAGTATTGACCTAAAGGTCGAATAAAGTCGAGAGTATCAGTTTGATTTATATGATTCATTCATAAGAACGAAACTTTCCTCTTGAAAGACCGGACAATGGAGATCGGTCATTCATTCGGTCGTTATACTCGTTCATTCACTCATCTATGCATTTATACATTTATACATCAGTAAGTTGGAAGCATTCCAAAATTCTAGAGCTGACCGCATTGATTGACGAAGTAATTATAGGTGTAATAAATTATACGGTAAATATAATTTGTTCGCTTCTAGTATATTATGAGCTCTTCGTGTTGGCAGTTCTTCAACGTAATTTGTAGACGGCATATCTATTAGATTCTTAGCTCTTTAAGGATTTTCAAAAATAACAAGCGATAACTAAGCGCGTACCATCTTTTGATTACATCACCACATCATTATCACAAATATTAATAAAAAAAAACTAATTATGTTATACCTAAATGTGGTTTAATTTGGACTAGGAATAACATATAGAGAGTTGGTGGCTCAGGGGTTAACCACTTGTAATCTGCAAGTCCTGGGTTCAAATACCGCCATGTACCAATGTGTTTTTCGATTATCGTTTTACACATGTATGTATATTTACGGTGAAGGAAAACATCGTGATGTAACCTGCACATATCTGTGAAGAAATTCAAAGATAAGTGTGAAGTCAACCCTCACTGGGACAGCGTGGTTGACTATGGCCTAATCACCCCTAACTTAGGGCAAGCTCCGAGCCCCTCGGTGGGGACGCGGAATTGCTTCCACTTCAGGCGTGAAGTAGAAGCAATTCCGCGTTTCGTCTGATGAGTGTGTGTCCCGGAGGCTTAATTTAGTCCTCTTTCCCTTCCACCTTTTTTCTTATAAGGAAAGGATGGAAAGTAGAAGTGGACTTTTCGGATGAGAGAATGCATGGAAAGGGAATATATTTTTTTTTCTGTGCATCCCATTATCCGTCGATTAAAGGTAGGCAACGCATATGCATTTGCGTATGTATATGGGCAACGATCACTTCGCTATATCAGCGATTTCAGGTGACCGCTCGCTCGTGTGCCACCTTATGATATAAAAAAAGACATATAGTGAGCTGATGATGATGATCACAGTAGTATGTATGGAATAACATAGTATTCCGATCCGTTATTTAGTACTTACGAGACGACGTTAACCTATTTAACTAAGCCTAAAAACAAACAATGCATTTCTAGGAATAGAGTTATTTCATCCAGCGCATTGCTTACGCTTGGAGTCCGGCCAATATAAGTAGCGCTTATGTGAGCTTAGAATTATGTTCCCGTCAAAACAACAGCAATAGACATAAAATGGTCTCCTTGAATAAACTGGTGTAAGGAACAGTAAATTAGTGTGAAGTTTAATAGCTGACTAAACCTTTGGGCGTCAGAAAGTTTGATGTTTTAAGAGGATGAATTATTATAGACTATTCCTAAGGAATCTTTACTCTTCCTTCTTGACTAACAACTATTACGCTTCTACAAGATGTATGCCTTATTGTGACGTCATCTAGCTCAGAGGTGATCGATTTTGGGAGATGAAATCCAATTCGTATTCGGAGTTGACAAGGTTAGTGTCATTGGAGTTAGCTTATCTTTTTTGCATATATCTGACTAGCGGCGGACAATTACAGTGAGTTTCTAAGACCGGATTTACCGTTTAAAATACATTTATATATATGTTTAGGCAAAGATGTAAGACAGGAATGACGATATGTTTTGTACAGAGTTTTTGGTCTCAGAAGTCCACGGTTAGAGTAACATAATCTAAACGATGTTATCCATGTATTTAAAATTAAGTTACAAATGTTTTTTTTGTTTTCTGTACAACTTCACGACCGAAACATTTGTATTAAAACATATATGTACATACATATCTTTCATTTTTTCCAAAAAGAATAAACGGGATAGCAATACTTTGTGACAATGTTTCGACAGTGAAAGCCCGCATTAAATACGAGTATATACCTCCAAGATTTCATCGCCGACTTTGATGGGTGGTGAGGATTTGGCTGCAGATCCCGCGGGATGAAGACCGCAGATGAAGACCGCCATGCGACTGCGGTCCCGGTGTCCCGCCAAGCTGAGACCGAGACCAGCTTTCGGGGACCGCTCCAGTTTGACCACGACGATACTGTCTCCGAGCGATGCATACTTCTTGCGGATTTTATCTGTAGATAGAAACGTTTTATATTATATTTCAAAGGTCAGTAAAGTAACTTTTTTTTAATTTTTACTTTTTATTTTTTACTATCAAAATAATCCAAACAACCAAACAACTCATAAATGATATACTCTACTCTGCGATAGATGGCGTTGTTACAATAAATCTGCATTATTCTGAGGCGATTCTTACTTGAGATCCAATTAATACAGCGGAGGGCAATGAGGGTACTTTTATAGGCCAATAAAAAGTGGCTGGAGATCTCAGACAAGAGCTTTCATGATAATCCGGGACTGAATCGATCTGGTAACTCAAATAGAACTGTATGGAAATTAAATCGTAAGCATTGTGATGACTTTGAGAACTGGGATTTAAAGAACGTTGGGGTAAAAGCAAAGAATTTTCTGAGATAATGAAGGATTTTTAGACACATTTTTTATTATATTTTTAGTTTTAAATTTTATATTTATTTGTGTGAATATTATTTAAATAATATCAACATTTCGCTTAATAAAAATTCTATAGCGGCTTATAAAGTTATTTGACCGATTTCAAATCCTAAATTAGTATTGATGCAAACTAAAATTACAATTTGGATTAGATTAACAGTTTATTTATTTAATAGCTGCCAATGCGTCGGAATTAAAAAAAAATAATTAGTTGCCTATGTGTTCCAGACTATGTTCTACGACTCTGATAAATTTTAGCAATATCCATGCAGTCGTTCTTGAGATATCTTCTAACATCCACACATCGATTCATCTAAACATTCACATTTATAATATTAGTAAGATTAAAAGACATTATACAATGCTGTAAACAAAAAAAAATATTGATAAACAACACGACTAAGTCAAAACCATAGACCTTTTATAAATAAGGTACTAGAAACAAGGAAAAAGTTTTTCCGCGCGGCAAATAGCATTATCCTCATCGACAAATCACATTTCCTTGCCGACTTTCGCAGACAAATTGGCTCACAGACACGACTGTTCACTTGTTTTTTTTTTATAAATTTTTTATAAGAACGAAGTTTATTGTAGCTAAAGCAAATACAATAACTAATGTACTCTATTCTGAATAAACAACTAAACTTTACAAAAAAATCAAATAGTAATACTAGCTATTCAAAACTCCGTCTGCGCGAAATAAAAAAAAACGACATTAATAGCTTATGTGTTCTCCCAGGCTATATTCTACAAATATGTCAAATTTCATCGAGATCCGTTATGAAGATACCCTTTAAAAACATCCATACATTCAAACTTTCGCATTTATAATATTATAATATTAACACTAAAGAAATATTCAAAGAAACAATTTTTTTTTTGTTATTTCAGTACCTGTTAGTATAATTTCCCAAAAAAATACTGAATTATTTAAATAACAAAATTGTCGCAATGTGTGAAAAATTACGTTCCTCTACTCTTATGTTTAAATTACATGGTCTAAATTCTATTGAAAAGATATTAGTCAATGTAAAATTGTCTAGCATACATTGAAGCACACATAGTATATAGAATACGACATGCTTCAGAAATAACGAAAACACAATATATAGTTTGTGAATCAATTCGAAACGGGCCAAACACATCTGAAGGCCGCACACTTGACCCGTTTGTTGGGACGATGTACGAACAAATACAATAGGCATTTCACTGTTGTAACTAGGGTTGTCAACTTTCAATAAACGTAAGCCAGCGTGGTTGACTATGGTTTAGTCACTCCTAACTTAAGATAGGCTCCGAGCCCTTTACTGGGAACGTATATTGACCTGATGATGATGATCTTCCTCTTTCTGCCCTTTTCCTTACGTAATGTAAGCACAGTGTGTACTTCTCTTCCATACATTTCTATTAGCCATATCCTCTTTCACATCCAATTATAATCCTGCAAGCTACAGTCCGAATATGCACAATACACTCCCAAAAGTGGCAACCCTAGTTGTAAGCCGAGGCCACGAAATCTATGGAATATGATTTACCGAGAAAACTGTCTTTGGGTAAGCTAAAAAGATGAGTGAAATTTATAGGGTTTTTAAACAAAAAGTGCAGTTATATTTTTTTATAAATTGTATCAAACGCTTAGCAGAGCTTAACTGAAATAACCATAATACAGATAGACAAAGATATTTAAAAATTCAAAGAAAAATTTCCTTTTAATTTATAAAACTTATATGCATAGTAATTAAAAAATGTTATAAAATTATAAATTTGTCAGAACATCTTTGTCCTATCATTTTACTATTATGACAGTCAAAAACAAAAGTGTTTACATTTTATTTAAGTACCAATCCTATATAATTTCCTCTGTTAAAAGCTTGTTCAAAAAACAAGTCATAACTCCTTTTAGTTTTTTTTTATTTTAGTTATGTACGCAATCTACATTTTTTTGTTCTCATTTAAGATCATTGTTTAAGTATTTGTAACGTATCGTGAAATGCTTGATGTTGTTAAAATGAAGCACTTTTAATATAGCGTAGGGCGGTACTTGAGTTTCCAGGTCAAGTACATTGGAAGCCATTGGCGTTTGGTGGCTTCGCTCGGAACCCTGCAGATTGAATCGATAGAGCATGTACTGCATGTGCGTTTTTTAATGTGCAACAATTTTTACTGCGACTGTACCATGTTGATATTTGTACCAATCTTTATCCCAATCTCACTTAGAATGGGTTTTCGCCTTCCAGATCGAACTAATATATAAAATGGAGATACAAAAATTATTTTATTGCCTTCTATACTTCATATTTTTAGATATTTTGCGTTCTTTGGATTAGTTCAATTTCAATCAAACTTGAAACTAAATCGATCAAAAATGTAATTAAAAAAATATTACGAGAAAAGTAACTTTTTAAAGGCAAGTTTTTTAGATGTTTTTGTTTATTTATTTTTTGTTATACTCGTAGTTTATTGCCAGATATTGAAAAATGGTTTGAAATCAATTATTGCTTTAGCTATTCACGCTCGTTTTTAGTATCGTATTAAAATTATAATTTTAATGAGGAAACAAAGGGTCTATTGTTAGATTAATAAAGTGGGATATGAAGGGCGGGGAGTTATTCTGAGGTCGTTCGTGTTATATCACCATGATACGGCATTTTAAGTGTCCAATAAACGAATACTGGCCTGATTAATGGCCGACGGCTCTACGATGTACAAAAATGTAATAAACCCATCGTCGTCAGATCATATCTCCCCACTGAGACTTGAGAGCCTACATTATGTTAGGGGTGACGAGCCTTAGTCAACAAAAGTAGTTTACAATTAAAATAGCTTAAATATATGTGCATGTAAATATTTGTGCGAGATAAATATATTGAAAGAGGATTAGAATAGGTCTGGATTTTTTTAAAGTGGTATATAATACTCGTTTTTGTACTATTTTATCACTTTTTCAATGATTTGTGCCTACTATTAAATTGTTTATAATTTTTTTTTATTTGGAAACACCCTTAATAACGATGTATTCTACAATATTGTAAAGCTATAATTGTGATTATCTTAAGGTTGAAGATTTATTAATAGTACACAATTAAACCGAAGAACATCTCTACATAATCGAACAGTCAATTTTTGTTTCTATTCACATAGTGATAGAGTTGAAATTCATATGATTCTGTAGCTGCTATATAATAAAGAATCAATCTTATTCAGTCACTTTATCCGATCTTTTCCAGACTTATCGGGTAAGCTGTCTTCCGTTTACTTGCGAACCGTAAAAGCAAAGTCGATATCAATCCATTCATTTTAGACGCCATCGACTAATATTTAACGTATAAATACTTTTAAAATAATAAATAATAAAAGGTCTTAGACTGTTTAAGGATTCAGATCATTTAAACGACTTTATATCGAAAAATTAATAGTTAGTTTTCAGTGTCGAAACAACTGTACAAAAACATATCGTTTTCACTCTCTAATTATCATTGAAAAACAGAGACAAAAATATATTTTGTCCTTGTATATGTAGTGGAGACCTACGGTTCAGAAAAATAATATTAATAAGTTTATGTAGAACCTACGAAATTTAATGTTCTACGCCGTAGACCTCTACGGCTGATGGGTTTAATTATCTACGGCGTAGACCTCTACGGCGTATATAATTAAACTCATATTATTCTACATTTAATTGAACTGTGGTAATACTTAATACAGACTCTTGTTCTGCGCAAATATTATTAACGAGTTTATTTATTATGTAATATTAACGTTCGACATCTTATTCTATTTAAAAGAAGCTATCTAGAAAGGTCTTTACTCCGGTTTCGTTTTATATGGAAAGTACTTTAAAGAGAATCAATCTTCCCACTCCACTGATGTATCAGGCGTTGTGGCTGCAACGTTATATACATACCATGAAGGTTGGATGAAATATTTAAAGAATATTGACTAAAAAAAAATAGTAGCATGTTACTCTCACCGTTTCTGAGTTCAAAAGGTCCGTTTAAAACATATTGCTATCTATATTTTACCAAAGATAATGACAGAGATAACGATAATTTGTCTCCTACGCTTTACTCAACTGGACGACAGGAAAGGTAAATTTCAAATTGATTTGAATATAGTTCAATGTGTTTATAATATGTTTAGTTTGAACATTAAAAATTTATAACGTTTTTCTTTTTGGAAAAAAATATAGATTTATCTTCTTTCCTCTTCTTAATTGGATATTGTTTACGTCACAATAAATATTTATTACGGTTGTAAAGACATTTAACTATTGCATTTTTTTATCTCAAATAATTTTTACACTACTTCGGGTTACACGTTATCATAATAATGTCTTGCTACTCGGCTGTTTTATATCAAACACCTCCTACCCCTTACCTCCTCCTTACCTCCTTCTTACCTCCTCCTTACGTATTACACGCATGATAAATTGATATTAGTTTTCGGAGGCGAGTTTTGTTAAAGGAGCTTTTTTCATATCTCATGTGGGCACTAACTTTGTTATTAAAAACTAAAGACTTAAATGGATATAGCTAGAATGGGCAATATCTTTTAAAGT